GGGTCTGGGCTGGGGATTTGAACCCGCCACCTTAGGTGTACGTGGCTGGCGCCTTAGCCGGTTGAGCTATAGGTGCCGAGCCAAGTATTTTATTTTATTTCTTACAGTTTGTAGAGGCTGAGAAGTCCAAAGTTGAGGGGCCATATCTAGTGGTGGTGGGAACTCTGTAGATGTTAAGGCAGTGCAGGACACACATGGCAAGGGGGACTGATCCTGCTAGCTCAGGTCTCTTCTTCCTTTTTTTTAAATAAGAGATGAGCTTTCACTGTGTTGCCCAGACTGGCCTCAATCTCTCAAACTCCTGGACTAAAATTATTCTCTTGCCTCAGTCTCCAGAACAGCTGGGACCATGGGTGTACAACACCGTGCCGAGCCTCTCCTCCTCTAATAAAGCCACCTGTCCCACTCGCACAATCACCTGTCAGTCCATTAATCAACAATTGAATCAATCCATTCATGAGGGCTCAGCCCCCCTTAAAGGTCCCATCTCTCAATACTGGCACATTGGAGATAAAATTTCAACATGAGTTTTGGAAGGGACAAATATTTAAACCCTAGCAATTACCAATTCCGTTTTTTACACAAGGAAACTAAGGCTCTAAGAAGTTACATTATTTGCCTGACGTCAACAACTAATGAGTGGGAGATCTTGGTTTGAATCTACGGCCCGCCCTTGAATGACCCTGTGCAGCTTGCAGCACACTGCCCAGGGCCTTCACCAGTTGTCTGCTGGTGAGAAGCAGCCTTGGCCTGTCCTTAGCACACAGCTTCATCCCTGAGGGGAAAAAAAGAACCTTCCACCTTTGTAGAAGTATTAGGGGATAGAGAGGAAGATGAAATCCTGGAAGGAAAGCTAGCCTTGGGGTTCCCACTGAAAAGATCATCAGCTTGAGAAAAGCAATCTTAGGAGAAAGAAGCCTTTGGACACACAGAACTCACTGGATTAGGCAGCTGGGGGACAGCCAAGTAGTAGGGTACAGAGCTAGCTACATTGCCAGTACTGAATGTCAAACAGTGCAGTGACCTCGTGTCAGAGCACAAACAAAACATCACTCTGTACAGAAATTCCTGAATACTGAGGGGTTTTGTTCTCTTAGATGACCATTAAAACTGGGGAGGCTTCAGGTCCTTGGAAATTTACCATATTACTTACAATGGCCATAAATGTGATTTCTCTCTCTCTCTCGCTTTTTTTTTTTTCCCAGCAGCAAGCCTCTAAAGTTGAGAAGGTGTTTTTTACCACTGCAGTACCAGTAGCCAGTAGCACAGGTACGTAAATTCCATGTTAGCCTTAAGAGAGAGTCAACTCTCTGGGCCCCTTGGGGAACAGTTAATTATTGCTTTGCCTCAGTTTTTATAATTTTAGAAATCATTAAACAGCCTCAATTAAATTAATCACATTGTATTTATTAGAGTATTTCATTTTCTCACAACTACTGGAAGTAGTTAGTATATTTCTGGCATAAATACCATGTTTAACATTCCTTAACTATTAATAGTACATTATCTTTCAGATATAACTTTTTTTTTTTCCCTGAGACAGAGACTCACTCTATTCCCCTTGGTAGAGGGCCATGACATCATAGCTCACAGCAACCTCAAATTCTTGGGCTCAAGTGATTCTCTTGCCTCAGCCTCTCAAGTAGCTGGGACTACAGACGCCTGCCACAACACTCAGCTATTTTTAGAGACAGGGTCTCGCTCTTGTTCAGGCTGGTGTTGAACCTGTGAGCTTAGGCAATTCACCCGCCTCGGCCTCCTAGAGTGCTAGGATTACAGGTGAGCCACTGCACCTGGCCTCAGATACAACTTTTAAATGTAGCCAGAAAAAAGTCTGAATCACAGTTAATGCTAAAGAGGGCAGTTGTTAATTCACTGAAGTCTTTTCTAATTACAGTAATGAAGAAATAGCATCTGGGTCAGAGACTCCTATAGAGCTAAAATTCCTTTTATTCAGACTCTTTGTTTTATAGATTAAGAAACAGCCTCTCCCCCCCAATTAAATGACTACCCCAAAGTACTAGTTCCCAGGTCTCCAAGTTTTTACTCTGTTCTCCTGCCACTGGTCTTTAGCACTTTTAAGACACACAAGGCCAGCTGAATTCAGAGCATGCACACATACAAGAGAGACTATGAATAACAATGTGAAAGAATGGCTGGGCATGGTGGCTCACACCTCTAATCCTAGCACTCTGAGTGGGTCACCTGGGCTCATGAGTTCAGAGTCAGACCTCATTTCTAAAAATAGCCGGGCATTTGTGATGGGCGCCTATAGTTCAAACTACTTGGGAGGCTGAGGCAAGAGAATTGCTTAAGCCTGAGAGTTTGAAGTTGCTGTGAGCTGTGACATCACAGCACTCTACTGAGGGCAACAAAGTAAGACTCTGTCTCAAAAAAAAGAATATGAAAGAATGTGCCTGCCTGCAAGGCCTGCTGTGTAAAAGGATATTGATACCTACCATGTGTCAGATGCTAGGCTACAACGATAAGGGAGATGTCCTATGGGAGCGCAGGGTCTCATCCTGTACAGCATGGATGGGGGCTTGCAGGAAGATGGCAGCACTGTGCTCATGTGCCAGGGAGCTCAGTGTAACTTCAGCCCTCTGCTTAGGCCTGTAGAGGGAAGGAGGGAGTTGAGTCTTGAAAGATGAGTGTAGGTTCTTCAGAAGAGGAGCAATGTCTGGTGATTTTAGGAGGAGCTCATGGGCCCAAAGGTGTAAGCAACATATCAGGAAAAGGTAAGCATCCAATGAGACTGGCATGGAGGATACAGCAGAGAATGGCTGGAAATGAAGCTGCAGATACAGGGTCATCTTGATTCCATGTGTGACTTTCCAAAGAAGGGGGGCTTTGTCACGGAGGGCTCAGGGCTGGTGCGTGTCAGAGGCTTTTTTTTTTATTGTTGGGGATTCATTGAGGGTACAAGAAACCAGGTTACACTGATTGCATTTGTTAGGTAAAGGCCCTCTTACAATCGTGTCTTGCCCCCAGCGTCAGAGGCTTTTTACGTGACAGGGAATGTGGGCCCTTTAAAAGCTGAATAACGCCTAAAGCATGGCATCTCTCCTCCCACTGTTCCTCCCTGCTGGCACCCAGCTCTCACCTAGTTTGTGTATCCTTGTCCCTCACGTCCTGCCTGTGACTCCTTAAAGAGCAGTCTCTCTCTCACCTCTCTTGCAGGGAGCTCTGTACAGCAGATTGGGCTCAGTGTTCCTGTGATCATCATCAAACAAGAGGAGGCATGTCAGTGTCAGTGTGCATGCCGGGACTCTGCGAAGGAGCGGGCGTCTGGCAGGAGAAAGGGCTGTTCCTCCCCACCCCCTCCAGAGCCAAGGCCCCAGGCCCCCGAAGGGCCCAGCCTGCAAATACCACCGCAGACTTTTTCATCACCTCCTGTCACCCTGTCGTCATCCTCCACCGTGCCCTCCTGTGAGCAGAGCAGACAAGCAGAGACTCCTTCAGACCCTCAGACAGAAACGTTAAGTGCCATGGATGTGTCAGAGTTTCTATCCCTCCAGAGCCTGGACACCCCGTCCAATCTGATTCCCATTGAAGCGCTGCTGCAGGGGGAGGAGGAGATGGGCCTGGCCGGCAGCTTCTCCAAGTGAAGGGCACGAGTGTGCTCCCCTCCAGGATAGGAGGAGAGCAGGAGGCAGCAGATGCTATGTCTGCCACCATCATGGGTCAGAAATTTGAAGGATGAAGAAATCTACTGTTTGAAATCCTCACCTTTCAGATGTATTTTCTTTATTCATATCCCAGGAGCATCCATTTTAAGGAACTAATCTTTGGAAAAAAAAAACAAAAAACAACAAAAAAAAAGCTAAGTTATAAATGAACTGTTTGGCTGCACTGTATGTCACTTTTGCTTGTCATGTGAACTTGGAAATTAAGGTTACTCGTATGCATAAACATTCTAAATGAAAGGGTGTGGTTTCCATCAATCTGGTACTGCCCATCACTTGCACTGGGGTCTTTGTGGATTGGGCAGGAGAGTTCAGTGTGTTGGGTGTTGCTCCTCCCTGTGTGTCTTTTGAATCTGAGGCTGACTTTTGCTTGGAAGGCCAGACCCTTGCTCCATCAAAGAGGGCAGTGGCAAAGGCCAGCGAGACAGCTGTGATTTGGACAGGGTTCTGATGAGATGGCCTTGTTGTTGTGCTTGGTGTCAGTGGAGCTCAGGGTGGATAATGCAGGGGTCATCCTGCAGCCCTTTTTAGCACAAATGGGCAGCTTAAGGCCTGGCCCACAGGCTGCTGGCATGATCTGGTTCTCCAGAGGCCCTAGGCAGGTTGTTGACTGCTGTCTGTTGATGACGTGTGTATGGAGCAGGCTCTAGCAACACAGTCACAGCCTTTACCTTCCTGGTTCTTTCTGTCTCTCAGTTGCCAGGGCTTGCAGATGGCAGTGAATTTTCCTTGGGGAGCATCCCTGTTTTTGTCCTAGGGTGAACATGTGGCTTATGGACAGTTACTAGTCAGTGGTCTGCCTTCCTTTTAATGGTATTTTCTTCCTCAGAGAAGACAGGCTGCATTGTGCTTATCAGGAGAAGGTGCAGATTTAAGGGAGTTGGTACGAGGTGGCATGTAATTGGCAGGCCAGGTGTCCTGGTTCCAGGTTCTAGCCAGGCTTTTGCTTGCCCCTCCCATCTCTGCCTCTCACCCCTCTGGATTTTGCATACAGTCTACTACAGTGCAAAGAAGGATGTGATTTGCTCAGCTTAGTCATGTGATTTCTAAACAAAAAGGAAAAAAAATACGAAACGATGATCTTCTACTCAGGGTAAAACAAAATAAAAAATTCCCCTTCCACCAAAAAGCCTGAAATGTTGCAATAAGTTATCTCATTTGGAATGTTTCATTAAGTTGTTTTATAGGAAAAAAATTTTTTTGTGTGTGTGTGAATAGAATTATATCCATCTGTCTGCCTTTGGCTCCAAGTCATTGCCTCTTAAAATAAAACATAATTTACAATCCACACTAGAATGAAAGATTTCTCTCAACTGGTTATATTAATGTAGTCACGAGTGCTCACCAGACTCACCAAGCTCAGAAGCCAGGCAGGGCCCAAGGTGTGCAATAGGCCTGTGCCTCCAAAGAGCCTTTGCCTTGCCTTGTAGCGTGTTCCACAAACAAGGCTGATCTTCCGAGTCAACAGCGTCAGGCAGAAGGCAGCTGTAACTTTGCCTTGCATTTCCATTTCCCTAATGTAAGGAAATCTGCATTGGTCACTCTCCTGTTCTCTGAGCCATCGCTCAGGGCCAGCCAGCACAGTATCCAGAGCAGATAATTTTCCTTGGAGCCAGATGCCCTGCCTTTAGCCAGGGTGTTCAGGAGCAGACTTGGACCAGAGGGCAGTGGTGATGAATATTGTTACTGCTGTGAGAAGTGGGCTTAACTACAAAGCAGCTGACTTCTCACTCCAGGAGGCTAGCCAGGAGAATCCATTTATTTTTGACCTTCTGTATTCCCCTCCCCAAAAAGGCTGGGGGATTTTAGGGACCATGGACTTCAGCAGACATAGCAAAGGCAAGATGAATCTTCTGTTAGCACAGTGGATTAGTCCTCCTAGAAAACCAGCTGCTGAGTGTGAGTTGTTTTTGGTGAGTTGTTCTCTGGGCCTTGCAACCACAAGCAGCTTTGAGGTAGAGCCCTTGCTGTTTGTAACTCTTAAGAGAGTAGCAGATGGGAGCCCCAAAGTTAGCCCGTATCAGACGGCAGTCATGACCGTCCCACTTGTCTATCCTATTGTTTACGTGGGATTCAGGCTCCCTGGGAGTTGAGGTGGGAAGTAGGAGCCCAGGGAAAAACATTTGAAGTGTTCATGGTTTAAATATTGTTTAGCCTAATTGGTTAGCCAGGGCTGTGGTTATGCTGGGCCCTACCTGGGTCAGTGGCCTTTCCACTCTCCAAAGTTTGGGGGTGATGAAGAAGCATCTTAAACAGTGTTTTGGGGTTGACAATTTTTTTTTCCATTTTAAGTTTAAGTATCTGCCTTTTGAGAGTGACTTTAGATGTATAAGAGAGACTATCAGATCCAATCAGCTTTCGAGAAATCAGGAATCTGCTTAAAATGCCAGTGAGTGGTTATGAAGTGATTTACCCCCCAGGGTAGGCAGTCTTTCCCTCCTCTCCCGGTGCTCTCCCTGTCCTCCCCACCATCCTTTCATAAGTTTGGCCTCTAGTGCCAAGGACCTTGGGGTCCCTGGCTAAACTGGAGCCAGAAAGAACCTTCCTGGAGAGTGTGGTTTTCCAAACCTGGGAGTGAATGTAGGATGAGTTTTGGAGGGTCTACAGAAGTCTAGTAGTAAATTCAAGCCTTTTTTCTTTCCATGGCAAACTTAACCACTTTCGCCCTATAGATTTAAACCTTAGGATCCCACTTGCATCCCCAGTTAGGCTGCCCCTTTAAAGGGTACTCTGCACCAGGGGTGGGAGTTCATGGGCTTAGGAGGTGGTAAGTAAACCTTGGCTGGCACCACCAAACTGCCTTAGTGAATTTGGCCCTTCCTGGGCAGATAGGTAGGGGGGGCATTAGGGAAAGTGGCCCAGTCTTTCCTGGCAGGGTCTGGCCAATCTTGAGGGGCACCACTAATTTGGTGATACAAGTGGTGTCATTTATTGAATTCCACCTTCTTTTAGAAGGAGATCATGGTACAAAGCCCAGGAGGGCCTTAAGACGTGAAGACTTCTCCAGGCCTTCATGAAGGGGGCTTCTCTTCATCACCTCTGGGAAAGACAGTAGATGGGAAAGTTTTATTTTCAGGGTCAAGGCTGTGGACCGATGGGGATAATGGAAGGTGGGTGGGTTTTCCTGAGAGACTCTGTACAATACTGAATGTGTCCAGAAGGACAAGTTTGCAGAACCTCATATTGGTATATTAAAGAAATAATAAAATAAAAAAGCACTTTAGGTTATTTTATCTTTAACCCAATTGCTGCAATTTCTTTTGTGTATATATATACATATATATACTTTCCACAAAGTTTTATTTTTTGCTCAGAATAAAAAGTTAAATTGAGGTGTGAAAAGAAAAGCACTTACCTTGGTGCAATATGTGTAGCTTGACAGTCGTTGTCCCGTGTGGCCCTGGCCTGGCTGAGTCTTTCCACTTGAACAACCTGTGCTGTGAGGTTGTTCACAGGGAAACACTATTATGCATTCTCCGCATCTGCTCAATCTATGCAAGCCTCTCCCGTGTGCCCCGGGGCACCCTCAGGCTCTCTGAGGAACCGCTGTGGGTCCTGTTTGCTTCTGCTGACTGTTGAGGCCCCTTTTCATCACTTCTTGATCCCTTGCCATCTTTCCCCTCTTCACCATTAACGAAGTGATGCCTGAAAGGAAGAACAGATTGTTCCTCGGTAGAAACCTGGCACCTTCTAGACTTTTGTATCTGTAATCACGTCCATTGTCCTTAATCTTAAAGGTGTCTCCAGAGTCTGAAACCATTGATTTGTGGAACTGCAAGAATATTGCTCAAGAGTTTACAGTTTTCTTACACCACCAATCAGAAATATGTTTGGGGAGGTAGCATGGTGATGGGGGGGGCAACATGAGCCATTTCCATACTGCTCCCGGTACTACCTGTGTTGGTTCCTTAAGCCAGAAGGCCTCCAGCCTTTAAGTCCAGTAAACAAAGCTCTTAGTAACGTTTTATCAACTTTCTTCCTTCTCCACCTCCACCCATTTTATCTTCAATCCTCAGGCTGTAGAATAGAGAAGTTTTAAGATATCCTTAGCCAAAGCAGATTTCCATAGATCTAATACACAAATGTTCTGCTGTGATCATCAACTGTTCACTCGTTAATATTGGGGAGATGATGGGTGCAACAAAACTGAATTATGCATATTTCTGATTGGTCAGTCATTTTAGCTTGTTTCCTCTTGCATACTTTGAAGAGAGAGAAAAGGTCCTATATTTCTTCTCATGCCCAAGGGAAAGCTGACAACCACAGTATGGGCACTTCTCACTGTTACTCCTGTTCAAGAGGGCTTCTCAGTCTGCACTGAAAAGATGCAAATTAAACTGGATCTTTATGTCAATGTGTATATAGTACAAGCTTTTTTACTGGAAGTGAGGTTTAAAACCACACACTGCCCTTTTGGTGGTGTGCCTGCTGGGCCAAAAATTGGGTGATAATGTAGTGTCACTTTCTCAGCTCAAGGCAGTTTCTACTTTTTCTTATGGGAAAATTTTTCATAAAACCTTTTTGCACCAAAACCCAGGGATGTTTTTTGTAATATCCTTGTTATCGTTGTAGTGATGCCAAGTCACAGGCTTCTCTTGCCCTTTTCCTCCTGTGTTCTCAGGCCTCCTAAAGGCTGTTCAAATCAACAGTCTACATCCTTTGTTGTGTTTTGGAGAATGTGAGGGTGGGGGGTCAGAGTTCAAGGTGGCTGTTCCCTTTTCCTGTGAACTCCTCCTAGCTCTTGTTTGGGGAAGGTGGCTAGAACAGGTTGTTGCTAAGTGTCTGGCTCTGATCTTCTTCTGGCCAGGAAAGGCAAGAGCCCCTGAGAGCCTTCTTTTTGACACACACTAATCATTGGCCAGGGTGTTGGTGACAATTTTTTAAATCCCAAATACTTTTATTTGGATTATGTTAAAAGTCTATCAAGTTTATTTAAGTGTGAAACATGGGAACAACGGACTTCCACTGAGCGATAATGAAAACGTTACAGGTTCAGTACTTCCAAAGGAAGAAACCTCCAAACCCAAAAAAGAATAAATATGAATTTGTATTTTTGAAGAATGTGAAATAATGGTGTTTGCTTAATTGTTCATTTTGTATAAACTTAATATTGTACTTTAAAATATCTGCTAAGAAGTGAAAATTTAACTTTTTGGAATTGAAAAAGCAATATTAAATACTAATGAAATCCTAATTAAATGCTTATTTAAATCTGGTAGTATCTGTGGCATTTCTTCCCTGCCCTGCTCATGGTTGGTATTTTTCCACCACTCCCCCCTGCCCAGCCATTACAGCCTCTTAAGAGAGGGGACAGAAAGGAAAGGTCGTTCACCAGGAGAGTCTGCAGGTTTCCTTTTAATCAAGGCTCTGCTGAAAGTGTTTCGTGGAGCCAAGAGCCCCCAAAGCATGAAATGATCATGTAACACCACCTAGATTCCCCCATAGCAGGCCAGACCACTCTGGCTAGCACTGCTAGTCTGCCCAAATCTGGGTAATCAGATTGGGTATTCGGTTGGCTGCATTTCAAAGCACAGCACTGCTTTCAGCCAGGCTGAAGTGGGAGTGAACCCAGCTGCTAGCAGAGCTGCCACCCCAGGCTGAGAGCCAAGTAGCAGCCGCTGCCAGTGAAGACTGGCCCCTTTATTGAAGGGAATTGTTCAGAGTCCAGCCACCAGCCCTGGTGAGGGAGAGAAGTCAGGGCATCCGGCTGGGAGATGGTCAGGGTTCCGCAGCTCCATCGCCAGCATCCTTTGGAAAGCCACCTCTGGCGGAGACAGCTGGCTGGGAGGCAGCTCCGGGTTTGGCTGAGACGTTCTAGTTAGAAAAGAAAAAAAAAAAAAATTAGGCTGGGAGGAAAGGCCTTGGATTAGGCCCACAAGGATATATGGCCACTTAGCATTTGGATAGTATTAACTTTTCTAAAACCTCCTACCAGATAAAAGGAGGTTGGGGAAAAGCGATGGGGACACGCTCCCCCATTCCAAGGGAAGCTAGGGCTTGCCCATTCTAGCCAATGGGCAGACCCCACCCCCCAGGCCCAGCCCGGGGTGGGCACTGACCCCGCCGCCAGCCGGCTCCGGGCGCCGGCGGCCCAGCTGCCTCAGCATCTCCTCGCAGGCGGCGATGGTGTCCAGGAGCTGCCGCTGCCGCTGCTCCACAGCGTCCAGCAGCTGCTGGGCGCGCTCATCCCGGGGCGGCTGCGGGGGTGGCCTCCCGCCGAGCCCCAGCCCCGCCTTCCCGCGGTCCACGCCGGCAGCCTCCCTGCCCGGAGAGAGCGAGAGACAGACGGTCAGGGCCGGCGCTTGCGCGGGGTGCGAGCCCCTTCCCCCCACCCCACGGGCCCCCTCTCACCCCCGTGACCAGTCTGAGCCCGGGCCCCATTCCATCTCCGCCTGCGCGGCCCGACCACCACCCACTTTCGGCCGCCCCCCCCTCCCCAGCGCTGCGCTAGGGCTCCGCAAAGCTGCGCCCCGCCCCGTCCCCACCGGTCTCCTTCAATCCTCCTGGGGGTCGTGGTCCCTTTAAGCTGCCCGGCGCGGGGGTGGGGCCGAGCCGCCAGAACCGGAAGCTGGCTTGGAACGTCACTTCCTCCCGGAAGCGAGCCTCGGCAGATGTCTCCAGCGCGTTGGTGCGGTGGGATGAGGGCCGCGGTGGCTGCCAGCGTGGGCTTGAGCGAGGAGCCCGTGGGCTCCCGGAGCGGTCGCCTCCTCCGCCCGCCAAGCCCTGCTCCGGCGATGCCAGGGGCCCGGCTGTTGCGGCTCCCAGGGAGCGGGGCCGGGCAGGCCGCGAGCTCCGAGCGCGCCGGCTGGACGGAGGCGCTGCGGGCCGCCGTGGCCGAGCTGCGCGCCGGCGCCGTGTTGGCGGTCCCCACCGATACGCTGTACGGCCTGGCCTGCTCGGCGAGTTGCTCGGCGGCACTGCGCGATGTGTATCGCCTCAAGGGCCGCAGCGAGGCCAAGCCGCTGGCGGTATGCCTGGGCCGCGTGGCCGACGTCTACAGGTAAGGCCTCCCTGACCCGGCCCCGCTGGAGGCGGCACCACGGGAGGGGTTTCCGGTGACAAGCTTGGGAGACTGAGGCGCAGAGAGCGGGAGGGGCTTGTTCAAGTTCACCAGGGAATACGGAACTGGAAATGTGTACCGAGTGCAAACATAGTAACGTAACATAGTAGCAAATGTCTTGAAGAAAACAAAGCAAGGAGTTGGATACTTCTGTTACAGTGCCACAGCGGTGCAACTGTTTGTAGTCTGAGATCAGAGGCGTGTAGTCGCCAAGCCAAGGAGTGCACCTGTGGAACTGTTTTCTGAAGCAGGGAGACAGCTTTAGAGACCCTTTTCCTGGTTCTTCCTAGAGTGTGAAAAAAGGAGAACCAGTGGTCCTTCATTTTAAATGTATTTATGCTCCTTTGTTTCTCAGGTACTGCCATGTGAGAGTACCAGAGGAGCTCCTGAAAGACTTGTTGCCGGGACCAGTGACTCTGGTGATGGAACGCACAGAGGCTCTCAACAAGGACCTGAACCCCTTTACTCCTGTGAGTGAAATTTTCTCGTGTTCCTGAAGGCCAAGCCAGTTTTTGGTGTTGCTTCATTGCAGCTTCCATCTGCCGTTGATGATTGTTCTTCTCTTCCCTTGGGAGAGTAAAAGAGGGAGAAAGCAGTTGAGTGGTTCCTGTTTTAATGTTGAAAAACAATTTTTTTCTCATGTCCCCAGACTCTTCCTGGCCACTTGGCTTTCACTAGGATCCAGGCCAGACCCCTCCCTTGTTCATTCTAATCTTTCTGATGATCTCTTTATCTCTTGCCCTATAGCTTGTAGGCATCCGGATTCCTGACCACACCTTTATGCAAGATTTGTCCCAGATGTTTGGGGAACCTCTTGCTCTCACTAGTGCCAACCTCAGCTCCCAGGCCAGTTCTCTGAATGTTGAGGTGAGTTACCCAGTCCTTCGGCCAGAAACATCACCAGCCCAGATAATGTTTTTCCTAAACCATTTGGGTTGGTGGTATACGGGAATTGCCCAGCAGGACAGTTGCCCTTTTGGGTCAACGGTGGGAAGGCCACTAAGCATCAGAGAGTTGGGAAAGGGTAATCTAAATTAAAGAATCTTAGAGAGATGGTGGCACCTGTAGCTCAGTAGGTAAGGTGCCAGCCACATACCCCGAAGCTAGCAGGTTCGAACCTGGCTAGGACCAGCTAAAATAACAATGACAACTGCAACAACAACAAAAAAACAGCCCATGT